GGCTGATGGGATTGAGGATTGTAAACAGACTTGCATTACATTTTTGTTAGGGCTGACTGTGGCAGGCTTGGTATGTGGTTATACGAGTTCCTGGGTGGCTGAGTGAACAGCAGGGAATTCCGTTGTTAGGCTCCAGTACCATAACTGGAAAAGGCTCTGGACAACCCTGAGAAATATGGTGATCCATGTTTCCATTAAAATTTGGGTAAAAGTTGATGTTCAAGCTTGACTTTTTTTTCACCAAAACATCTTAAGGTAGTGGGACTGTAGACCCGATTTTTAAACCCTATCCTAATTGTAATCAGCCTTATTTAAGTCAAATGAAGTATGTTAGTGCTGAATTTTTGGAAACAACTGTGGTAAAATGCAGGCCAAAGATGTCTAGAAGTAAAGCATTTCACCTACAAACCTTTACAAACTCCTACAAACCTAAAAGGCCTTAAAAAAGATAGAGGATGAGCTGACACCTGTGCAGTGTTATTCTCAAAGATGAGTGTTACCACATGCTTCTTAATTATTTCCAAGTACACAGAAATTATCTTTCACAAGATTGCAAGGTTCTTAAACCGAGAATCTGTTAAAGAGCAGCTACTAGACCCCAATTTTCAATTTGTTTTCTTTGCCATCCTGGTGTGTTTGGTGCATTGCAGAGTTCTTGAGATTTACTCTAACTCTGATACACTTGCTTTTTTTTTCCCCTCTTCCCCATACTATGTCTTATAATTCCTGCCATAAAAGACATGTTCTTTTGCCTTATATACACATGTTCTTGATTCCTTGGTCACAGTAGTCCCATAGGATCTAGCAGGTTTTTTCAAAGAGCCCTTCAGTTGTCATGAGGTATGCTTTCTTGGGCTGAGATATCCTTTCTTGGCCAACAATGCACCAGCAGCTGGAGAAGAGTTTTGCTTGTCAGAAGAGCCCCTTTCAGGTTATGGATGCCTGCATAAATTCTCTTACTGTTTCTTGTTGCTGAACTAATAATACATTTTATTTCTACCTTTGAGTCAGTTTCCAAGTAGGAGCAGATGAAGCACAGCTTAATTTTGTCAGGATATGATAGTTTCTATTACATTAACTTTCAAGGGAACAAAATTAATCTCAACTTACATTATATTTCAAGTGCAGTTAATTCAAAGAATTATTCACTAGGAGATGAAAATAATGACAGGGTATAAACTCTGGCTGAAAAGTTGAGCGTTGTTACTGTATATTCAGTACTGGGTAGTGCTGCATTAGAGCAAGACTTGATATTTTTAATGTTTCAGGTTAAAATAATACTTTTCTGAAGGCAGAGTTTTGTTGGGCTTTAATTTTCAAGTAAGCTGCCTGCATATGCATATTAGTAGAATTTCTGAAGGCAAAAACATTGTATGACAGGAAAAAGCTACTAGTACATAGAGTAGATTTTTGATAGGGGACATTGTAGCTATTTGTAGGGTAAACTTTGACTCCAAATTTCAATTCAGGTAAGCATTTCAAAATAGTGATATTTCACCTTTTAATACAATTTGGGGGACGTAAAATGTGAGCCTTACATTCCTGCTTATAACTGAAGTTATCTCTTGGTATAGAAGGCAGATCAATGTCAGAAAAAAAAAATGCGAGCTTATAATTCATAACATACCCACATTTGGTTCCCCATAGGTAACTGGATAGCACTTGCTGCTTCCTTCAATAAACATTGCACCAAACTGCAGTATGAAAACCCTTGCTCAACAGCATGACTCTTCCCTCTGTACATAGAAAAGACAAATTAAATAGGGGAACCATATTGCATTAGAGCTTTATGAGACAGTGTTGCAAAGCCTTTATTTCATCAAGTGTGGTGTTAGATATATTTCACTCCTCTTTCTTATACAAATAAAGCTTTCTTTCTCATATATAAAAATCAATAGAGTTAAGAAGAAATGCAGTTGAGCCTTCAATAAACATCATAAAACCCCTTTCTCATTCCTGCTTAGCTAAGATCAAAGCTTCAGACTGGTGCAGATATTCCATATGGAAGTGGAATTACTTTATGTCTTCTTTTATCCTTTCAATGCATGTTTCTCACTTTTATCTTTAGTGTTTCTTGAGTACTCAAGCCTTGGGCTTTCCATTTGCACAGCGGTGGATGAATGTGAAATTCTTTTTTCATGAGCCCATATACATACCCAAGGTTATTTTTCTCTTCCCATGCACTGTATAAGGAACCCTTACCCTGGGTGCAGTTCTGGTTTTCTCAGAAAGTATTTTGAAAAGGCAGAAGGGTTCACAAAAGTGGAGAAAAAAAATTAGGAGGAGTTCCACAATGTCTTCATTGTAGTGGGAAGATTATTAATCCCAGTTTACAAACTGTAATGAAGGCAATGCAAAGAGTCACTTCATGGGAATCTTTTTAGATTCCCATCTTTAAGACCTTAGGGAACAGATTTCTGAGACCAGAAGAATAGATGCTCCTTTAGGATTGCAGAAATATATGAAATAATATTACAGCTAGAAGTTAGAACTAAGTAAATTCCAACAAAGTGTAAAGAATTAATTCTTAAATTTTCCTTATGGTGTAAGTATTGTCTTTATATCCGTATTTTTAAAGAACCACTACAGTACTTTTAGTTAATAGGTGTTGCACTGTATTAGGAACTGTGAAGTGATGACACAGACTCTCTAGCCTTAGTTGCAAAAGAGAGCAAGTTTTATTCTTCCAGATCTTCTTTTAAAGACAAATCTGAGAAGGTCCAAAAAGGTAAAACTCTCATTGGCCATGAAGCCAACACATCACCATCACTGGACAGTTAGGAACAACACCCTTGACCGTTTCTTACAGGTAAACAGCAAGGCGACAAACAACACCTGCAAAGGTTGTTTTCCTTCTCTACGGACTGTTTGGATTCCTCCTTGTGATTTCTCAGACCAGAGTGAGAGAGTTGTGTATTTGACTTTCCCACAAGCTTAAGCTAGTGCCTGAAGCCTAAAAATTTCTTATTTGACCACTGTCAGTCCCCACAAGTAAGTAAGGACTGAAAATAGAAGGTACGTGCTTGTTCCATTTTCTGTGATATGAAACTGTGTGGTCAGACTGAAAGAGCTTCTGGCTTTACAGCACTGTTAATACAGTTTCTTCTTTTGAAACTGTGCAGCAATTAATAGCTTTTTCTTTCGACTTCGTGCATGTCTGTCTGAATGTTATGGAAGATCAGATGAGATTCTGAAAATGACATTACTGCAACTGAATTTTTTTTATCCCAGCATCATAAATGAAACAATTTTGCTCTGAGTTAAATGAGAAATACACTGCTATTTTTTTACTATTAACCTTCAGAATTTCATCAGAAATGGGTATTTTTCAGATTGTTTTTACCATGGGAAGTACAGTAATCATTTCTCCAAATACATTTTGACAAATAATTCCATGCTCTAAGGTACTGGTAAGAGTTAGTTAACTGGAAATATTGTCACCTGCTACCATGTTGAGCATGACCTTTTATGTTTTCCTGTGACAGAAAACTTTCTGAGAGGGTAGGCATTCACAAATCTTGAAAAGATGGCACCTGTTCTCCAAGCAGTTTGTGAACATATAGTGAACTCAAGTTCACTAAACGATAGTGTCCCTATTCTACAATGAATCAGCTTTTTCTGGGTAAACTTTGTTTCAAGTATCTCCAAAGTAAAGAATGGATGAACAAAGTGTAGAAAGAAATTCTTCTAAAAGGAAGGGAAAACAAATATTTTAAGCATTAATCCTGGGCTAGAGATATAGGTTCCATTTCTTCTTTTATACGTGGACTTATGTGGGATCCTTGACAAGTTTTTTATTCTCCTTAGCTACAACTGTACAATGCATCCCACTGCCTACATCCTTTGTGTGCCCCGAAAACATTCTAACTCTGTGTACACTCCCTGTTTCCACATCTCCTGATCTTCACAGTGCAGCTTAGTCACTAAGGAGCTGTGGTGAGCTACAGGCAAGTGTCAGTCAGGGTGCCTGACCCTGACCAGCAGGCAGACACCGTGAACTACAGATAGAGGTGAAGTGCAGAAGCTGTGGCTGTTCCTCAGCCTCACATTGTTGTTCCACAGGGCTGTGATTGTGAACTACTCTGGGACTATTAAGCTACCCTGGTTTGATGTATATTGTTACTGTGTTGCTCATCAAATCACAGTTTTTAATGGTTTCACACGACCACAAAATGACTGAGGTTAGATGGGATATCTGGGAGCTCTCTTGTACATCTAGAGCCAGGACCATATCCAACACCTTTTGAGTAGCTCCAAGGAGACAGATTCCACACCCTCTCCAGGCAACCTGTGCCAGTGCTCACACTAAAAAAAAAATGCATTTCCCAATGCACAAGGCAGCCTCTTGTGTTTAAGCTTTTGCCTGTTGCCTCTGTCTCGAACTGTCACCCTAGTAACACTGTGGAAGAGTATTAGTTTTCTTGCTAGCATCGTGTTTTACATCTTAAAGGGAAAAAGAACTAAAAAAATACAGTTTTTTCAGGTCTCAAGCAATTTTCTTAGAGTAAGGACAGTAAAGAAAGATCATGAATTACTATCCTAACACCATGCTGAAAAAATATCCTAAACATACCAATTCATTTTCTAATCAAGTCTGATCATGTTCATGTGTTCAAATATATAGTCTTTACTTCTGTCATTAAAAGCTAAGTGTTCAATTTTTAATACTATCACCTATTTGTCAAGACTCTAGGATTGAGCAGAATTGTGTGAATGCACTCTGCTTCCTACACTGCAGTTTCAATATTTATTTTGAAATATTAGTTATTCTAAACATAATATCCTGAGCTATTTTTCCAGTATTTCTGTGGACAATCTTTTTATCTTGGTCTTAGAAATAAGGAGATAGTTGTCATTTCAAGGTGATGAGCTGATTTCTGCTGAAGGTAATTTCTTCAGCAACTCAAGTTTTTATTAGGGGTGGGAAACCAACAATCTGTCTTCTGATATTTGTAATGGATTTAAAACACATTTGATTTTTTTTTTTATGTTTTCTTTAGAAACTACAAAGGATATCCTTGTGATATATGAACAAGAAGCAGAAGAGTGGGCTCTATATTTAAAATCTCTTTTTGGACTCATAGTGAACAAAGAAGGAATCTTACTCTGCGATCTAGAGAATTCATCTTTCAAGCAGCAGGAGCTACTCTGTTTACCAGCTTATAAGTGTAAACTCCTGATACTCTCATGTGGACTTCTTAACTGCCTGAATCAAAAGAGAAGTTATTTTCTGGAACAAGTTCTAAAACCTCCGGATAATGTGGTAATTCTGCTTTGTGGAGTGGAGAATTCAGAGATTCTTTATGAGATGCTGACCTTAGCTGGAGGCAGCAAAGAGATTTCTACTGATCAGAAACCTGAGGAATATATTTCTGTTGTTAAAGAAATTATTCAACCAGGTAATATACTACTGCTTGTTTGTACTCCTTAGGTCTCTTACCTCTTCTCAGCACTTGCTATTTAGGCAAGATTTTGTCTACCAAGCAGAATATTGTGCTTCTGTCTTTGTTACATGCAAGGTGCCATTTTATTGGAATGGGAGCTTGTGCTTGAGGAAGACATCCTGCAGTTCAGGATTTTTACTCAGAGCTTAACCTAGTGCTGGATGCACATGAGTAACCAAGAATATTCTTTTAAACACTGGGGTAGAGAGACCCCATCTGAATGAGTGACCTAGCTGGATGTCCCTGCTGCCTTGTGCTTAAGCAGGTAAGCTTAAGTATGCTATAGGGCTTTAAAACCTGCCCAGAAAATGTATACACACAGTCTGCTAATCTATGAGATCAGCGTTTTCAAAAGAACATTTTAGACTCTTCCTCCCCAGCCATCTTCTCTTCAGTAGTGAATAACCTTTTCCTCAGTACATATCTCAGACTTGATCATTTGGGCTCATTACAGTTGTCTGTTTTGGTTTCAGAAGGTAATGTTTGCCATTTCTGTCTGTATCCAATATGTAGCTTCAGACTGAAGCTTCTTGGCAGTTTTTTAATGGGATGAAAACAGTGGGTCTGTGTTCTCTGTGTGTATGTATATAGGAAGTAACTGTGCTTAGATACTATCAGTTGATGCATGCACAGGAAATTGTAAAACTTTCTGCAACATTAAAGTTTCCTAGAAGACACAGGAAAGTTGTTTGCTTATGTCAATGCATTCACAAGGATACTTAATTGCCTGTGCCCTTGGGACTTATGTGTAGTGCCAGATGTTTAGTAGGGGTTCTTATGATCTCTGCTTTGACAGTGACCAATATCAGCAACTTCAGAGATGAGGAGAAAGCTGAATTAATCAACAGTTGTTGAAGGCCTCAGTCTCACTATGTACATCTTTACTTGGGATGCGTAGACTGTGGCCAGGATCAGACAAGTTCAGTGGACTGAGTTAGATCCACGACTGGAAGTGGTGATGATGCCTGGTGCTTCAGGGCTAAGCCCTCCTCCACACTTGCATCTTAGAACTGCTCTGGCCCTTTTTTGTGGTGTGCCCTGGCCATCAGCCAGGCCTGCTTAGATCAGTGCTTGATAGGAGACCTCTAATCTGCTCTTTGTTGCACAGTGACAGTGTTCCAACTAAGAGATTTGCTTTCATCTGAGTGCTGATTTAAACTCTGAGGAATGAAGATGTGCATTGTTTGTCATTATTTACCTTTGCTTAAACATAATGGTGTCTGTATATATGACAGTCTTTTAAGTCTGTTAAGCTCTTAGCCTTTGTAATACCTGTAACAGGGATTTTGACAGATTGCGCATCTGGGAAAGAAGATTTTCGCCTTGTATTTAAAATTATTTTCTAAGAGATTGTTTAATATATACAAGGATTATTTTTCCCTTGGAGGACAATTTTTTGCCTTTCATCAGGACCAAACACACATTTCCTATTTCTCTTCATATGGATCATTGTTTTCAATCCCTTTTGTTTTCAGTGCTCATCCCTAGACCCATATATTCTTGACCCTTTTAGAGAGAGTGATGAAAACACTTTTGTGTACCGTCTTCGTGGCTTTCACTTCCTTTTTTTTCTTGCTAAATTGTTCAATACTCTTAACTTATTCTTTCAACCATTGTATCTTCTTGTCTCCTCAGTATTGACAAGAACTGTCACTCTACTAGTCTAAAAACTTAATAATGTGCGTTAATTATAATGGCCCCACCACATGCCTTCCACTCCAGCTAAATTCTGTTAATCCCTTAGGACAATTGGCCATCGAGATCCCAGGATTAATGGATGCCCGGGCTCAGGAGTGGCCTGCAGGCAGTTAAAACAGCTAAAGATGGATAATTAATCAGGTTGTTATCTCACAGTTTAACATTCTCTTGGAGAAAGTTAACAGTGGCATAGCATAGGTGCCTTCCACTACAGATTTCCCCATACTCAGGAAAACTCATAGGCAAGGTAAGTTCTTAGCAGGCTCTTCTCTCCTAGGTGCTATTCTCTTTGCTCTATCCCTACAACCTGCAATGGAAAAAGTGCAAAATAAGTCTTGTTTTATATACCTCCACAACTATTTCACCTATGGTGCTGGTCTCATATTCTTGGAACAGACAGTTAAAACTTCCTTCTGGCTCTGAAGTAGTATATATGCCTAAAATTCTAGCCAAAAAGCAAAACTAATTAAAATATTGAGTAAAACTCAATAAAATAGAAGATGCAGGGGGGTTTGTACTCAGCAGAGAGCTTGTTTGTCTGCAATGTGGTTCAAACACAAAATCTGAATGGTTTGTCATACCTGTTTGAACATGTTCTAGGAGGAGTAAAGGGAGAACTAAGACATGGAGAGTGACCTTTCTAACATATATTTCCATAATCCTGACAGACTTTATAATATTCATCTTCTGCATGAAGAGGAGCACAAGTATTTTTATCGCTGTCAAAAGATTCCTTTTGCAGGATTTGTTTGTAAAGTATGTCACTATTTTAAAATGCCACATTCAGATTCCAAGTTGGTTTTGAATTTTGTAGGTCCTGTGCATATTGCCATGAAAAAGATAACCCCTAGAGAAGGAGGAGAACACTCAGAAATTTTATTATTCTATGTTAACATCTAAGATGGCCCAGTGAGACTCTAGAATTCTGACTTTTCTTTATCAGCCTTTCCCAACACTGTTGAAAGTAGAATCAGGAGATATGTTTTGCTTGCATCTGTCTTTCCCTTCTCCTGTTTCTTTCTACTACTTGTTTCTTGGTCTGCTGAACTTTGTACATTTTTTTTATATTAAACTGGCATATTTTCAATGTATTAATTCAGTACCCTGGGGTACTAAACATAGCTGGGGTTTTTCTGTTTAATCCTGAAAGGCTTCAAATTCAGGAAAGCATGTGTTTATGTAAAGGATTTGTGGATAGATATTTGCATCTGTAGGTAGTTAGCTTAGATTCTTAAATGTCCTCAATTTCTACTGTAGTTGTCCTCCATATTAATGGCACAAAAAGAGAACAGGTCTTATCTAATACAAATAATTTTCTGTGACACTGTTTCTGAAGTGCACTGACACTTTTATTAGACTTTTGGTGGGAATTCTTGGTACAGCACAGGAGTCATAAGTATCTATTAGTCTGCTTTCAGTTTTATTAGGTTTCATTTCTTAAAGCTCAACAAAAGCAACTCTTGTCACTTCCACTTGCAGCCTTTTCCCCAAGCAGTGATATCCCTTTTTTTTCTTACTTCATCCAAAGTATGAAGAGAATTTACTTGTACAAACTTTTATAGGTGAGTACCTCTCATCAAATGTATCCATTCATTACCTGCTATTGTATTAAAAAGTGAGAGATACATGAAATAACATAACCCAAGTAGAAAATGTTACCCAGAGTCTTTGACAGCCCAGGAAAGATTTTCAGAACAAATTTGTAACTTTTACCTGAGACAGGAATGTGCCATTAATTTTTGATTGTTTACTAAACTGAAAGGTATTCCATGTATCTGCACTCAATTTTAATGACCAAGAAGAGTAATGTTAAGAAAACTACTTTTGCAGCTAGTAGTAGGATATAGATATGGACAAATGAGATTCTAGCATAGGGTGTTTTTCTCTAATAAGTAAACGTGGAAAAAGCAGGCTGTGAGCTAAAATAAGGCTTAACTCATGCAGATCTTCAGACCAGTTCAAATACTGAGGGGGTAATTTCCATTGTGCACACCACAGGAAAGAGAAAGAAATAATTATACTTTTGCCATAATTTTCATGATATCTATTTCCTCCCTTTTATTGTAATTTGGTATAACATTGAATACTGAAGTAACATTTCACATTTTGACTCCACTGCATTGCTTGTTCTCCTGTAAAATCCTCTTCACATTGGCACTAAAATACAAGTAATAAATGCCAATGGATTTCCTTAGTCTGTGAGCAGGACTTGTGTGGATGAGCTAATTTAAGTGGGAACTTTATCGTTGGCTTCAGTGACCAAGTGATTCACCTAAATTTTGACACTGACTTGGAGTCTATGTGAAAATTGAGCTGGAGTGCTAAAAAAACAAAGATGAAGAAGAAAGAAAATGACTAGAATTTTTGTCTTTTTTGTTTGTGAATACTAGTGTGTGTGTGTGTGTGACTGTGACCTAAGTCTTGGTTGTGAATATTTCTCCCCTGAACATGCAAGACTGAGTAAATAGAGGAAAGTAGGTGGGTGGTTCTGGCCTCAATCACTGCCAGGAGAGTTTTCAATAAAAGAGACCACATGGTTGTGCTTCTGTTTGCTCCTTCCCCAAAGTATTTACATTCAAACAGTGCATACCACTGTTGGTGTTTTCAGGTAGTGATGTCATCTGCTTATTCCAGAGTACCTCGAATTCCAATTATGGTTTTTTTTATTAAAACAAAATAATCTGTGAGACTCTATCATAAGCACAAGAACAGAAGGGACATTTTGTTAGTTGGTGTGTGCTGCAGTATAGCTCTCATTTCCATTTTGCCCTGCCAATGAGTCTTTGAACTGCTCTGCAGGGACTGCTAAAATTACCAGGGTATTACATCTTCCTGAGATGCTGTGTTTCTCCATTCCACACAGAAGGGATGCCAGTGCAGTGACGGGGGTTGGTAATGACTGCCGACAAAATACTGGTTTGTGTCACTAACTTCTTTCATCTGACATGAGATCCTGGCTATTTCAAAGCAGAAGAGAAACTGAAGTTATTGTCTGGAGGTGGCAACCCCAGTTGAGATGCTGAGACTGCCATCCCCTGTCACTTAAGCTGTTTGACTTCTCTGCTATTTGTTCTCCTTTTTTTCTGCAAAATTCAGGAAAGACTTTACTTGTTAGTGTTTATTTGTGAGTTTTTTTAGGTTCTTAACAGCTCATATTCTAATATGTGTAGCTAGTCATTGTAACCTGTACCCTTAGATTCTGAAGTGTGTGTCATGTATGTGATGTTTTTTCCTCTTATTTTTGACAGTAAATGGATGAAAAATTATTGCACCCAGAAAAGTGAGTGCACTGGCATCTTAAAGTTTTTTAGCATTTTTTTAGAATTCTTTTAGCATTTTTAGCAGTATTTATGACACTTATTAAAAGTTTAGTTAATAATAAAAGTCAGATGACTAGAACATAAGCGTTAGTGCAGCAGCATGCACTAACTTAATACACTGCAATTTTACTTCTGTTTATTTAGTTCATAATTTTTTATTTTAAAAATAAATTAATGGATTTATCATTTTTAGTCTGCTCTTTCAAGGTTTGAAATGGACATCATCCAAATTTATGTACTGTTTATGGCTCAGTCATCAGTCAGTATTTAATTGCAGTTGTGAGACAGTTTCTAAAGCTAACAAATAATTTAAGACTCCCAGCAAGTATTTTTCCATGTAATATTGTAAAATGGCTGTGCGGATCTGTAGTCTTATGTCTTTCATGTAATGTATTACTGAGTCTGACTGAGTCTTGCACTGTGGTTACCAGTCACAATTACTGAAAAGTTATCATGGGAAGGCATCTAGAGAAGATCTCTGTAAAGGTACCCCTTGTATACTCTTTTGCACACAACTGTTGTTATAGCAAAATTGCTTTGTAATTTCACCATAACATTACTTCTGTTAGATTAGTGCCATCTTCTCGGAAATGGAATAAAATAAGTGTTGTTTTGCAGTCCAGACTAAAGAAATTGTCACTTATGCCTGAAAAAATGAAGTATAGCGCCTTTTTAAGTTCATATTAAAAAAATAGAATCAGATTTTCTCTTGGTAGCACCCCTGTGTACTTACTTAAAAGGCTGTGAGCCCGAAACTTGGTCTTGAAAATGTTAATACAGTGTCTTACGTGGCACAGGCTGAGGGAGTTGGGCCTTGAGAGGAGATGACTGAGAAGGGACAACACCAGTGTCTATCAATATCTGAAGGGAGTGTGTCAAGGGGATGGAGGCAGGCTCAGCGATGCCAAGAACAGGACAAGAGGCAATGAGCAGAAACTGATGTTCCACCTAAATATGAGGAAGAACTTCCTCGCTATATGGGTAACTGAACACTGGAACAGATTTCCAGAGGGGTTGTGGAGTCTCCCTCACTGGAGCTGTCTGGATGCAATCCTGTGCCGTGTGTTTCCGGATGGCCCTGCTTGAGCAGGGAGGTTTGGACCAGGTGAGCCATAGTTGTCCCTTCCGACCAGACCCATTCAGTGATTGTGTGTTGGATGCTGTTTAACATCATTTTTGGTGGCATTGAGTGCACTCTTAGCAAATTTGTTGCTGACACCAGGCTGTGTGGTGCAGTTGATGTGCTGGAGGGAAAGGATGCCATTTGGAGGGACCTTGACAGGCTTGAGAAGTAAGCCCACACAAACCTCATGAAGGCCAGTAAGGCCAAGTGAAAGGTCCTGCACATATAGGGGCAATCCCAAACACAAATACAGTCTGGGTGGAGAATGGATTGAACTCAGCCCTAAGGACAGAGGTATTGGGTAATGAGAAGATAAACACATGTTCTTACAGCACAGAAAGACAGGCACATCCTGGGCTGCATCCAGAACAGCGTGGGCAGCAGGGCCAGGGAGAGGATTCTGCCCCTCTGTTCTGCCCTGGTGAAACCCCACCTGCAGTGCTGCATCCAACTCTGCAAACTCCCAACATTTGAAACCCATGTACCTGTTTGAGCAAGTCCAGAGGAGTCCATGAAGATGCTAAGAGTACTGGAGCACCTCTCCTGCAGGCAGGCTGAAAGAGCTGATTTTGTTCAGCCCAGAGTATAGAAGGTTCCAGGAATAGGATAAGGTGGAATGGCTTTGAACTGGAGGAGGGTAGTTTTAAGTTTGATGTAAAGAAGAAATTCCTTAAAATGAGGGTGGTGAGGCACTGGAATGGATTGCTCCAAGAAGCTGTGGATGCCTCATCCCTGGAAGTGTTCAAGGCCAGGTTGGATGGGGTTTGAGCAATCTGGTCTAGTGGAAGGTGTCTCTGCCCATGGCTAAGGAGTTGGAGCAAATGTCTTCAGGGTCCTTTCCAACTCAAACCACTCTATGATGCTATGATACTGTCCATAACCAGATATATTGTATTATCAAACAGGGCACTGAACATTTGTCTTGTGTTCCAAACTGCAATGTCTGCATCCATTTCAGATAATCACTTCACTGCACATGATTCTATTCTCTTTCCTTATTCCCAGCTCCTCTCCCATTGTTTGCTGTATTGACTTTCAAGGAAATTTCTTCCTCAAGTGCACATTTCTCACCAGCTCTGGTAAACTGAAAAAAAAAAAATCAGTCAAAGGGACATTTACTGAAAAGGGATAAATGCAGTTGAATCTAAAGATCTCTCTAGGCTTGTTCCTCTGTATTAGCCCTTGGATTTGTTCTATGATTTATTTTTTTCTATCTGCAGAATAATAGCTTTAATTAACTTTATCTTACATTCAAAATATATATAGATTTTCATCCAAAAAAAGAAGTGGAAATCAATGTGATGATATTATCTTCTTTCTTCTTTTTTCCCAGATAAACCAGGGGATGAAAATCCTGGAGACTCTGTGTCTTACATCTATGAACCAGTTCTTGTAGATGGTGAGTTGAATTCTCCTTACATTTCACAGAATAAAACCAGTACTTTTCAGAAAATTAGATTTGTTCTCTTACATCTCATTAGACATGAAAGGCAATAAACCATCCCTACCACAGCATATAATTGTGTAGAGGAACATGCCTTGTTCTCAGACATCCACCCCCACATCAATACCCACACAATCTTGTGAGGAGTGTGAAAAGGGGAGGAGATACAACAGGGTTTTTACTGTGATTTCAGTGTAGAGAAAAAGGAAGACATGAAGACCTTTCCCTTCCTGTTCCCAGCATGAGTTTCACTTGTAAGAAAGAGCTGATTTAAAATTTCATTTACATCAGTCCTACTCACATCACATTTACAGCATCATTCACTGACAGCCAGAGTCTGGGAGAAGATCTGCATCATAGCTTCAGGTCCTGTTGACATTTGCCATTTTGGTTTACCTGTAGCTTTGAAAGTTTATAAAGAGTTCTAGCAGAAATTACAGATTTACAAATTCTTAACCTGCTTTTAGTAAAGAGCTACATAGCATGTCTCCTGTCCTCAGTTCTTACTTAGAGAAATTTATTTCTGGGTTGACACTGTTGCAAATTGGCTTAATAGCACCAGCATGCTTACCAGTGGAACGGGATGAGTAAGTTCCTTCAGAATTCCTGGCATAGGACTCTTGAGGTTAGTGGCTCTCTTTCCTATTCAACCCCCATCCATATTCTGATAAGGGTCTCTCTGTGAGCCTCTTGGCATCTTGGATGTAATGGTGTGATCTCAAGCAGAAAGCTGCTGTAAAGCTGCACTAGTTTATCCCTAGAGACCTCTTGTCAAGGTTTCTATGGATGTCTCTTTTGGTCCTGTGTTGAATGTGCCATGGGTCAGTGCACTGAAGAAGTGTGTTGGTATAAAGAAGGCTTTCTGTCTCATCATCCGGGTGCCAAATAAGTTGACACCACCATTTCTCTCGTTCATCACTGCTACTTCCAAAACCTGAGACAATAAAATAAGGAATGGTTAGAAAAAACAGATCCCAAGAAAAGAAAGGACTGGGGAGAAGGTCCTCTAAGCTACTTCTGTTTTCTTATGGCTGCTTGAAGAGCAGCTTTAAGTCCAAATTTACTGTCAACTAAATGGTTGATATTGAAATAAAGTGATTAGGGGATTTTGCAGCAAAGAAAGACTTGCATTAAAAGCAGGAGTTTCACTTGAAATCTTTGCAGCAGTTTCCTGAATAGACCTTCTCAGTCAGCTTTTGGCAGTCATCCTGAAAGCACTGATTGTCTGTGGCCTTTGCTGGTTAATGATGTCTAGTTATTGCTAAGAGGACCAAAGAGATCATCCATTGTTGTGATGAATGAAAGAGCCAGTTAGAAATGAGGCACTGTCAGTAATGGTATCCTGTATTTGAGGTTATGGCTGACGCCCAAACAAGTGTAAGGAAATGCATGGCCAACATTCCTTCTATACTGATGCAACAGGGAACAGTTACCTGATACCACTGCAGAGCTTTAGAGGGGAAAGTAGCCCAAGAAGTGGAACGATAGGAATTTCCTAGATTCAGTGCCTCAGTCTTTACAAAGCCAAGAAATATAGGATGGTAGCTGCAAAATAGCCCGTATTTATGCCCTCCAGAATGTAGGTGAATCTTCAGGTAAACAGACAGGGTCTGACTTTGGAAGAATTGTGAAAAAGTGTTTCCAGGGACTGTCTCTTCTCTCTGCTTCTTTCTAATAAGAAGCAAGTGTATGCAGTGCTAAATTGTCTGAAAGACACAGAACAGAAGTGTCAAGAGAAATTATAAACCAAGAAAGAGTTTTTGTCAGAGTCCTATAAATTCCCAAAAGAATGGCATTTAGCTGAGGTCTAAAGTGGATAGTGGCTTGCTGAAAGCTGAAGTTTGTTTTGTATATACAAGCATTGTACAAAAGAAAGGATAAGCTGAAAGAAGATGGAATTTTAGCTTGGAATTTAACTGGAATGAAAGTTGAACTGAATTATATATCTAAATGAGAAATCTAAAGCAAAAAGGGTGGAAAGAACAGTGAATGGATGACAGAATATATTAAAAATAAGATCACTAAAAAAATACCCCTATATTCATTAAAGCAAAAATAGACAGGGAATGAGCAAGCGCTAACAATCAATAAGAAGTGATTGACTAAAGTGAATTGTGCAAGACCTTGAGGGAAAAGGTCAGGCAGTACATTGGAAAATGGAAAAACAATATGATCACTGAAATCCTTTGGGGAAATATGAGCTACAAGCAGATGTGAAAACAATTGATTTGCTGCTGAGTGAGGGAAAAGATCTAGTTGTGGAATGCTAATGACCATAATATGAATATATGAGGACTCGGTCCTATAGGTGATAACATAATAAATCAATTCTTCAGACGCTCACAAATGTTGTTATGTGTTTTCTTTATTTTTGGTTTCTGTGTAAGAAGAAAAGACTTGTTATAATTACTACAGAGCTGCAATTTGAGAATATCCCTTGTGGTTCCTCAGAAGAATTTCTCTTTCCCCAAAGAATCATTATTTCTAATTTGTACTAAGGTAGAAAAATGAAGCAATTGTACTAGGATCTGGGTATACAGCCTTGTCACTACAATAAAATATGAATGCATTATTGTGAAACTGCAAAATACAGCTAAACTCATATTTAGGTACCCATTAGGTGATACTCAGTTTCTGAAATGGCTCCTCCCCTTCTGTGAAACAGCTTTGTCTTTTTTAACATTTGCCACTTAAGCTTGAATCCTAGCATTAATTAACTGAAGTAATTAGGGGTGAGCAAGTGCAGCACAAAAGATGATTTTAAAGGGTAATAGTTGTCTGTCTATTAAGTTTAACAGCAGACATATTTTGGTCTTGCTCAGAGGTCTCATCAAGGCAAGATGTATGTGCATACATGTATATTTGTATCCTTTACCAAGCTAAACTGAAGAAAGGCCAGCATCTTTTAACAAAATAAATGTCATCCACTCTGTAGATAAAGAGATCTAAAAGTACCTCTGCTATGCTATTCTTTTCCTATAATGCTATCTAAAGTCCCACTTTAAGAAGATGTGTCTATTCTGTTGGATTAAAGGACATTGTCATAAAAGATGAAGACCTCAGATTACCATCTGATTTATATCTCTAACAAAAGGGTTAATCAGGAGTTAGAAAACAAGCATGGTTTGTCTAAAAATATCACTCATGGTTGTGTTCCCAAGAAAGCAGTGTACCTTTTAGCCCGCTTTAAGGGTCAATAGATTTTAGATATTTCAAACTAAAGGTGGGAGTAAATTACAAAGCAGCCTGTCCCCAGTGAGTCAGTCCTGCTGACAACTCACTTTTTTCCCCCCTTCTTTAATACCAAACATGTCTGGCGTAAGTCTTTCTGCTGACAGCAGCTGTGGCAGCATGGCACAGGAGACATGTGGTCTCTTAGATAGACAAATCCCATGTAATTTAGAGCTGTACAGATCAAGAACAGCATCATAAATTTAATCCAGACATTGATAAGAGCTCTGTGCAGTTACTGAAGCTCTGCTGTCATCCTGAGACTAAGACACCCTCTTTGGTAAATGACCTGCTGCAGTCCAAGCTAGTTTCTGTTATCAGATTGATTTATGAGATGCTCTAACATGGAGTATATTGTCTTGTGTCAGTACACATTTTGATATTATTAATGATATGTCTGAGCAGAGTGAAGGCTGAGGATGCCTGCTACCAGTGTCTCTACCCCCAGCCTCTCCCAATGCAGTTGTTATAGGCCTTCAGTTATGTTAAACTTCATGACCTTCCATCCATGTCCTTTTTTGATGGCTCTAAAGAATAGTCTTCATAAACAGAATAGCTTCAAACATGGCTAAGAGGGGAAAATTTGGCTACTCAGTCCTTGAGGAATTTCCTCATTCCTTGAGGGTGATTCCTGTAAAAACTTAAACCCCTTTTCAGCTTAAATGTTGTGCCTCCCTGAAGTATGTTTTGATTCTCAGACTCCTCTCTATCTGTGTCCTTTAATATGTGTGTGTTTCTAAATGTAGCAGTGTTCCACTTTTGTGTCCAAGTACAGTGTGCAGTTTGAGCCAGGCTAGCTATGAGGCTTGAATTGGAGTTTAGAGATAAAGGAGCCCCTAGGCAGCTGCAGCTGGCCCCTTTGCAATAGTAAGGAATTTGCAGGAGCATTTTATCAGATTAACAAATTTTGGAGGTTTTACAACCCTGGATGCCTCTGCTATCAGTCCTTTTGCCCTCAGTAGTACTTTGAGTCTGTAGCAGGAGGATAGCCTCTCTCAGTTGCAGCAGCGCATCTCATTCTGGGCAATGTTTAGTGCTCTATAATCCTTCACTGAAATCCTTCACTGAAACAGAGGTGAGAGGTGTGTATGCTGATAGTACAGAGAAATGGAACAAAATCACCCAAGTGTTCTTACTGTGGTAGAACTCCAGTAACTCTGAAGTGGATGGAAGGACTCTTTAATAAAACATTAGGCTTCAATAACTGAGAACTTCTGGTACACACAGAGGGGCAGACTTTAGTTTGCTTCTCCCTGGAGAAGTATACAGAATCCAGAAACTGGAAATAACAGGCTTGGTCTCCAACAGCTGCTCTGCTCAGCACCTAAATGACCTCAGGCAGGTAGTTGTTATTTCCAAACTGATCAGTATGCCTAATAGAAACTTTCTGGGACAGTCTTGCTATGTGCCAAGCTCATCAGAGTAGTAATGTTCCTAGTGCTGCTGGTAAAGCTGAAAGTCACAGATTTCATTGCAGAAAAAAATAAAAGCATGAATTGATATGCAGTAGAAGATAAAATCAGTCCCAAAAAGCATCTAAATATATCCATCCTAGCTAAAGGACTGACAAAATCAGACATTTCTTCCAAATCACAGACCAGTTAGAACTAGTTCATTGTTATAACTTTGTTATATTAAATTATTGCCTCTGAATATAGAGTTACAATCATATGAAAGTAAATATGAAAAAAAATGCCTACATTTTCATGCAAGTTGTTTTTTAA